ATGTCTTTCCAAAAATACAAATATACATTTTTGGAAACCATTTACAAATATATGTAAAAATATATGTTAAAATGACTTTTTTATATGTGAAAAAAAATCTAAAGAATATATTTTAAAAAATATATTTTTAAAAATATTTTTTATATATTTTGTAATATATAAAAAAACACATTTCAACATACAGTATATACATATATATTTATTGAAATATATTTAGATATTTAGAAATATATTGAATATGGCCAAAAGTGTAGTATTTCAAATATATGTCAATATATTTGGGAAGAATATTTTTAGAATATATTTCAAATATATTTTTCTCCATGTGGGTAATGGCAGTGGGGATTAGATTTAAAAGTGGTTCAAAACATTTTAACACATGAAGGTAAAAAACCTTCTCTGTGCAGCTTCCCCCCCAGCCCCCCTATACTCACCTAATCTCTCAATCCAGCGAAACCACTGGAGTCTCGCATCCCAGGAAGACCTCCTTCTCATTGTCTGTGACCCTTGGGAGCCATTGGCTCCCATGCTTTCAATCACAGCCAGTTCTCCAGAGAGGGGGCGGGGCCCGAATTGCAGCTCCGTGTCGGAATGGACCACACCCATTCATCGGGTGCCCCCTACTTTAGCAAGCTGCTTGCTGTGGGGGCACCTGATGGGGGGGAGGGGCCAGGAGCACTGGCAGGGGACCTGAGAAGAGGAGGATTCAAGCTGCTCTGTGCAAAACCACTGCACTGAGCGCATGTTTGTTAATTTTTCTATAAACGAATAAGCCTTTAGAATCACTCTAAGATCTGAATACTGGGACACATCCCTTTACATTGATTAAGGGCGGGGAGGTAGGGCCCTAGACCAGGCTGCATTGCTGTAAAATGCAGAACATATTGTGTATTGTCAGAGAGGGTATGCCTGGTTAGCTGTGCCATCTGACAGGATTGCCTTGTTTGCAACAGTGAATGCACAGTACTACAAATCTTTTGGCAGGTATAGCAAATTACATACATGTAGTACACACAAAATACAGCTGTGCGACTGGAATTTAGTTTTAACTTTTGTACTGTTTGTTTATTTGAGCAGAAAGAAGGTGATAACGTTCTGTTCTATTCAGTGCATGTACCGTATATTCAACTTCCAAAACTTCAAATCGTAACTTTATTCAGTGAGAGTTAGCCTTAGGCTGCCTCTGTGAGGATATTATTATGGTCACTGACAATTCATTTGTTCAGCAACAGAACCAACATGCAGCCAATCTTACCCCAAATTTTTTGTTAATTTAAGGTTTGTTAAACATACAAAGAAAAGAAAGGGTACACATGCTGAACATGTGGTATTAATCCTATAGCAGGCATCACTCAATGGTGGACCACGGTCCAGATCCAGACTGAGTGACAGTCCCATCCGGAGCGCCATGGTCCTGCCATTTAGGAGCCTGGTCTTGTGCTTTTATTTGCCTGTGCCGCGTTGCTGGAAAAGGAGAAAGAGGGAATAAATGCTCTGAAGGGGGGGGTGAGGGGTGCTCTAAAAGGGGAAATGGGGGGGTGAGGACAGTGCTCTGCAGGGGGGAGGGGTGAGGACAATGTTCTGAAGGGGTAGGGTGATGAGGACGGTGTTCTAAAGGGGGAGGTGGATGGGAGGAGTGAGGACAGTGCTCTATAGAAGAGAGGGGTCCAGGAGAGTGTTCTGAAGGGGGGTAGGGGAGTGAGGACGGTGCTCTAAAGGGGGAGGTGGATGGGGGAGTGAGGACAGTGCTCTGAAGGGGGGAAGGGGTCCAGGACAGTGCTCTGATGGGGGGTAGGGAGCGAAGAGGACAGTGCTCTGAAGGGATGAAGGGGGGTATGCACAGTGCTGTGAAGGGATTGGGTCAAGGAGGGGCAGGGGACACTGATGTGAAGGGGGAACTGTGATGTAAAGGGGGGGGGGGGGGGGGGGGGGGGGGAAAGCTGTGACATAAGGGGAGAGAACTGTGACATAAAGGGGGAAACTGTGATGTGAGGGGGGACGAAGACACTAATGTAAGAAAAGGACTGTGATATAAATGTGGGGAGCTGAGATGTGAAAGTTCTGAGTCATTGCACAAACATACGATTTGGACTTCTGATGAAAGAAAAATTAATGAGCGGACCTCTGAATTTTATTTTGTATCCCTGGTTTATAGGGTAGGTACCCTTGACAAAGGTCTACATAGGCATACAGATCACAACAAAATCTAAGTAACTGTCTGTAATATACAATACTATAGAAACAAACAAAAAAACCAGCATAGGCAATGACCTCAAGACAAGACATGGGACCAGCTGCAGTATTTAATATCTGAGCCGGGATTTAATATCTGTCTCTGGGAAGCTCGCCATTTCAGTTATCATAATTAAGCAGTAATATGAGGCAAACACAAGAGTAAGATATCCGAGACAAGGTCCACCCGTCACCTCCGTATCCTTCAGGAGCTATTCTAGTCAAAAAAAAAAGAGAAAAATGGTGAAAGGGGTCAAGGGACTGTTGTATTTCAAGGTTCACATTATAGAGAGTCATGAATGTCTTCCCAATGCCCATAGCACATGGGGTACCCAGGCAGGGGGCCGTCCTCCGCTACCTCTGGTTCAGGAAGCCTCTCAATCTGATTCAGGGCTCAGCTGGCTAAATCAGCAGTATAATCTGTCGAAAAGGTATAGTCAAACCAATAAAACCAGGTTTTTGTAGTGTTCTTCTTTATGATTGAAGGTTGCCAGTATTTCCAGCCTGGGTGGTCTTGTTTGGGTCTTTTAGATTTTACCTGCCCCCTCCTGTACAGTAGGTCCTTTTTGTATACATGTCTAGGGCTATATTCAGGGCTAAAAGATACAAAATCATCTGTATCACATTTTGCTTGCTTGTATTTTCAAATTTACATTTGCATCCAGCAGCACATTTTTCACATTTGCAATGTTAACCTTAACTGCTTTTCCTAAATAAGCCTGTTTACAGAGCTCAATAATTCAATTTTAAATTTGCATACATGCTGCTGAATGAGTCAGAGGAGTGACTTATCCCCCTAACTCCTACACCCTCTGCTCTTTTTATACCAAACATACAGAGATTCAATAAGCAAGAGACAGTCTGAAAGAAAACAGTTCTCTCTTTAGAAACCCCATCATGCTCTGTCACACAAGAGTCACATGGGTGTCACTTGTATTAAATGTTTATTTGTAAAAAAAAGATTTTAAAAAGATAATATAAATACAAATGTATATAACATAAAAAATAAAATAAAAAGTGATCCTAAAGCATTAAAGTTTTCCCTTGCGAATATCAGACTTGTGTGTTTTCATGAATCCTTTTGTACTTACACATACCATGGTGGAAAAATACAAGATTAAGAGACTCTCAAAAGAGGACTCCCAAAACCAGCAAGTGCATATAGCATCTGTTGATTTGCACATGATACTGTGTGAGTGCAAGGCGGCAGGAATTTACAGATCTTTCTGTAAAACCTTTCCAGTGAAATTCCTTGTATGCCTATTGTGTTCTGATCTGTAACTTTGCTCTTCTATCACAGCTAAGAGCCAATAATGTTATCTTTCATCAGCTTTACAACTTTTCTGCACAAGTTAGAGATTAGATAAACATGACATAAAGATAACCAGAATAAAATGCTGTATCCAATTTAAGTACAGTATAATGTCTTTAGGTAGTAAGACTGTAAGCAGATAATAACTTTCTTTTGCCATCTAGTGGTCATGTTTTTCTCTGGTACTGACTATTATGCAGAAGTCAGTGAGTTCATCTGTTTCTGCTCTGAATTTTTTTTTAAGTTATGTTATAATAATAAAAAACAGTTACTGCAGTTTGTGTGCAACTGTCTTGCAGTAAGTTATTTGAATTAATATTTTTAGGTCAAATAGAATGATAAAAATATTTTTAAATAGTCAGTGGCTGCACTGTTATAGCTCCTATATATAGTAAACATATAAAAATGCAGTGGGGGTTGGCCAGTAGTGTATTTAGGTTCCGTGCTGCCCTAGGCAACACAAAAATGCCCACCCCCACGGAGAGACCCTGACACTGGCCAGCACCCCCCTTCCACAATAAGAGAGCCTGACATTGACCAACAACACCCCAGTCCCCCCCGCCCCCTCCTGAGAGAGCCTTCCACTACCACCGCCCCCCATACACTGGCAACCCGCCCGTCAAGAGATAAGACACTCACCTTCACAGCTCCGACCATCTCCAGGAACAACAGTCAGGCTCTGCATACACCAACAAGCAGCCCACAGCCTATCTCAGATCCCACCTAGTTCCCATGCTGCGTGTGTCCCTTCTTCTTTTCCTTCTTTCGGGGGATGGTTCTGCCCGCCTGAAAAATGCTGCTGCCCCCCTGAAAAACGCTGCACTAGGCAAATGCCTTGTTTGCCTTGTGGTAAATACACCCCTGGGGTTGGCGAGGTGTAGATCATCACCCAATCATGCTGTCAATACCTGGCCCTGATCACCTATTCTGCCCAGCCTGCCAAGTCTCTGAATACCATATCCCTGCAATGTGACCATCACAATGTATTGACCCGCTAGTGCTCCTTGTTGGCTGGTTGCTCTTAGCTGTGGGATCTCATAGGCTGGAGGCTCTTGGCCTGGAGTTTTTATGATGCAGAGCACAGCCAGAGATCTGCTGTAAAGTTCCTAATAGGAGAAAGTTTTTATTACTTGCAGTCTATTTGACACGCCCTACCCTGCATGCCTGGTGAAGACACTTGTCTCCGGCATGTGCCTAATGCTGAGACAAGTGCTATCAGTTCTAGACCATTAGGTATTCATCTCTTTAAAAGTAGGGAGGTCGAAGAGCTGTGAGCAGTGGTGGGGGATGCTGTTGACCATGCTATTGCAACAGCCAGACTACAAAACATGGACAATGTACAATGTGCTATTGTACCCTGGGGAATAGCAAGAACAATAAAAGCTTAATGAGACTTCTTATTTAAAGTGCAGTTTGCCCTATCAAACCTTTCCCCACTTTTCCTGCAACTCACGGTTGCAGGAAGGAAAATTTATGGCTTGCTTTAGAGCAGGGGTCTCCAAACTTTGTAAACAAAGGGTCAGTTTACTATCCTTCAATATTTAGGGGGGGCGGACTGTGGCCAGCAGGAGTAGAAAAAGTCCTGGTGTCAGTGGCAGTAAAAAGTGGCCCATGACTGGTGGCAGTGGGAGGAATAGTGTCACACTATTGGTATCAGCGGGAGGAATAGTGTCACACTACTGGTATCAGTGGGAGGAATAGTGCCCCACCATTGGTATCGGCGGGAGGAATAGTGCCCCATCATTGGTATCAGCGGTAGGAATAGTGCCTCATCATTGGTGTCAGTGGGAGGAATAGTGCCCCATCATTGGTATCAGTGGGAGGAATAGTGCCCTATCATTGGTATCAGTGGGAGGAATAGTGCCCTATCATTGGTATCAGCAGTAGGAATAGTGCCCCATCATTGGTGTCAGTGGGAGGAATAGTGCCCCATCATTGGTATCAGTGGGAGGAATAGTGCCCCATCATTGGTATCAGCAGTAGGAATAGTGCCCTATCATTGGTGTTAGTGGGAGGAATGGTGCCCCATCATTGGTGTCAGTGGGAAGAATAGTGCCCTATTGTTGGTGTCAGTGGCAAAAACTACAGTTGCAAGAAAAGTATGTGAACCCCTTGGGATTACGTGGAGTTTTGCATGAATTGGGCATAAAATGTGCTCTGAACGTCATCTAAGTCACAACAATAGAAGAACACAGTCTGCTGAACATAATACTACACAAACATTTAGATGTTGCCCATGGTTTAATTGCACATTAGTAAACATTCACAGTGTGGGAGGAAAAAGTATGTGAGGCCCTAGCTTAATGACTTCTCCAAGAGCTAATTGGAGCCAGGAGTGAGCCAACCTTGACTCCAATCAGTGTGATGATATTGGATGTGTTGCTGACAGCTGTTCTGCTCTTAAAAAACACACACCTTTTTTGGGTTTACTGGTTTCAAGAAGCACTGTCTGATGTGAATCATGCCTCGCAGAAAAGAGCTCTCAGAAGACCTACGATCAAGAATTGTTGACTTGCATGAAGTGGAAAGGGTTACAAAGTATCTCCAAAAGCCTTGATGTTCATGTGTCCACGGTAAGACAGACTGTCTACAAATGGAGAAAGTTTAGCACTGTTTGCTACTCTCCCTAGGCGTACTGTAAAATGACATTCAGAGCACATTTTATGCCCAATTCATGTTCCAAGGGGTTCACATACTTTTCTTGCAACTGTATGCCCCAGCAGTTTGCTAATGCCCCAAGGGCCAGTTAAAATGAAGCAAAGTGCCACATCTGGCCCTCAGGCCACAGTTTGTAGACCACTGCCTTAGAGTATCAGCCAATAGACAATTGAATGGCAAAATAAATAGTGCTCACCTTTTGGAGTGGCCGAGAAAGCGCACTACTGTGTATCATTGCTTGCATGCTTTCATATGCATTATAATTAATATTATCATCATAATTATTGCCTAGGTTGAACTTCAGTTGGTAGGTACTCTTCAGCCATAGTGGAAACAGAACCCCATCTAAGTGCAGGAAAAAGCTGAGTTCTGGGACCCACTCACATGGAGGGACTCATTAACCTAGCTTGCAGGTATGCACCTCATTCGTTAGATCAGCCTTTTTCAACCAAGGTGCCTAGGCACCTTGGGGTGCCTTCTGGGTTCTTCAGGGGAGCCTTCGCAAAATTCCTAAAAATTGCCCCAAAGTGCCCAAAAAATTGTCAACAAGCCAGCAAGTGGATAAAGCCTGTCTTTTTGTTACACAAACCACAGGGTTTTATTGTGCAGCATTACAAACTTGGGCACTGTGAGGGCCATCCGGTGGCATCCTTAACAACTGATGATGTAATTAGTTGATAAGGACAACAGGTGCCTGCATGCTTGTTCTCTCCTCTCCTGCCCCTCTCCATCAGTATTGGGGTCACTTTAGCTGAGTGAGGGAAAAGAGGAACGTTGGAATACTAGGCAGTACCTGTATGCAAAGGTGTATTAGTGTTGTAAGAAATAAATCACCTGTAATGTTGGGTGTCTTCAATGTGTGGATGTTGTTGTGTTATGTAAAAGTATTCTTTTAAATCTTTACATTTCAGAATAAGGGGCCTGAGATTGCAAGTCATTTTCAAAGATGCCTTGACTGAAAAAAGTTTGAGAAACACTGCGTTAGATAAACAACAAGGTGTGAAGTCAAAGCCATCCAATCAACTAGAATCTCACTGATAAAAAAAAAGTCCAACTTAATAAAGAAAGCATTTCAGAACAAACATCACTCCCTCTTCAATAGTCACAAAGTCAAAAGAGAAAACATATTTTACTATGTATACATGTATTCATAGTGAACTATGTTTGCAAATCTGCTTTTAAATTACTTTTAGATTGTCAACCTGCCAGGAGTTAAAGGAAAATTCTCATCTCACCCTCAATTCCTAGCTGTGTAAGATATTTTATTTATTATTTCAGGTAGTTATATAGCGCAGTCAAATTATGCAGTGCTTTACATATGTATGATACATTCACATCATTATGTTATATATCTTATTATTTATATTTTATATTTTCTATAGATTAAATTGATAGGTGTTTGTAAAAATATATGTATGCTTAAAGTACATCATTGATAATATATTACTTTTTATAGACAAAGATATATATATATATACACAGTATTACAGTATATAATAATATAACCATGTGTAGCCCTCTTTTGGGGGGTTTATGGGAAATGGCCCTACCCAAACACATTGCAGTGCTAAACCTTTAGGTAATTTGGAGATCCAGAGAACCAAAACCTTTGCTAAGTAAAAGACTAAAGCTGGCCATACATTATACAATTTTCTTGTTACATTTCTGTTAGATTTACCTTTAACTATATAGTGCAAGGGCCTGCCTGGTTGCATACAAATTGAAAGTGTTTCGATTTGATCTCATATTATATGGTTTTTTAATCCAAAGGAAAACTGTAAAGAAAATTGTATAATGTAAGCCTTAGTTTGATAGAAATTTGTCAGTGCTTTCACCTAGGAAGGTGCCTCTGAGAGCATAGGAAATTCCTTCTGGGGAAATTAACCAGTAAGCTAAGCAAAGTAATTGGAAGCAGAGGAACACATCAGTATAAAAAATGCAAACTTTATATAATAAAAAATTAGTAATAGTACATCTGTCCAATATACAAACATACTGTATAACATAGACCCAGCAGGAGCCCAGGTGGAAATGCGTACATATACATGGGTATATACCATTATAAATATATAAATTTAGAAAGCTGAAGCAAAGTCCAGTTGCAGGGGCTCCAGGAAAGGATCTCTGGTGCAACATCCTTTCTGTTTCTGAATGGCTGATTAGTAGATCGGAGATTCTCCAACTGGCACTTGACCAGCCTGGGATGCGGTCTCGACTGACAAAGTCTGTGTGTCTGCCTATCTACTCTGCTCCACGATCCCATGCAGCGTTTCATTTCATAATGAATCGATTTGTGGACGAAAATTTTGGATTTGGATTTATATGAATCTCCGAATGGGCATAGTAACGAACGTCAACAAATCCAAAAAAAAAAGTTATAAGGGAATCAACAAATGCATTTGTTTCATTTGGATGACGTCACATGATGCAATAGCCTATGGGGAAATGAATTCAATTTTCAAATTCATTCTATAATTTGGGTTTTAGTAAATTTGAGATTTAAATTGAATTTGTAATTGTCACAGTAAGTCAGTTCAGTTCCACAGTCTAATGCAATTCTTAGGTATGAAAAATTTGGGGCCGTGGAATTTTACATTATATTAGTCCATAGTACAGACCTAGCTCTCTGGGATAATAATAACAGGACAGAGAGACTTCTGTTATCAGACTTGAGATACACACAGAAGCTACAACAGTTAAACTATTAGAACACAGGAGTAATTGTGTAATAGTCTCTGCTTCTGATCTGGATGAAATACAGCAGCAGAAGCTCCTGCATAGAAGATAATGTCCAATTCTGTATCTACTTCCTGAAAACTAATATTTTAACCTCTTCTTGACTGCGCTCTAGCCAAATGATGGCTACAGCGTGGCCCTCCAGTTCTGGCAAGGAGTCATATGGCATCCTTCCAGAACACACCCCCCCACGACGTGCAACCAGCACTGTCTGTGATTGCTGTGTCCTTTTGACACAGCTGACCATATGACTCGGTAAAGAGCCAATCACAGCGGCCTTTTACCACGTGATCAGATGTGTCCAATCACAGCCAATCACCATGTAAATACACTTGCTGGTTATCTGCAGTACTTTCCTCACACTGTCACAGCATGAGGAAAGTACTGCCGAAACCAGCAACTGTGAAAGCAGAAATCTACACTGATAATCAAGGCACTGATCATCAGTGTCCTGGTTATCAGTGCAGTCCCAAAAGTGCCCATCAGTGCCCAAGAGTGCTGCCCATCAGTGCCCAGCCGTGCTGTCAATATGTGCCAATTAGTGCCATCAGTCAGTGCCTCCAGTCAGTGCCCTTTAGTGCCGCCTATCAGTGCCCACCATTGCCACCTATCAATGCACATCAGTGCTGCATATCAGTGCAGTCTCATCAGTGCCCACCAGTGCAGCCTTATCAGTGCAGCCTATCAGTGCCCAGCAGTGCTGCCTATAAGTACTGCCTTATCAGTGCTCATCAGTGCTGCCTTTCAGTGCCCATAAATGCTGCCTATCAGTGCAACCTCATCAACGCACATAAGTGAAGGAGAAAAATTACCTGTTTGCAAAATTGTATAATAGAAAAAAAAATTAAAAAAATACTTTTTTTTTTTCAAAATATTTGGTCGTTTTTCATTTATAGTGCAAAAAATAAAATACCCAGTGATGATTAAATGCCACCAAAAGAAAGCTCTATTTGTGTGAAAAAAATTTCACATGGGTGTGCAGTGTTGCATGACCGCGCAATTGCCATTCAAAGTGCAACAATACTGAAAGCTGAAAATTGGCCTGGACAGGAAGAGGGTAAAAGTGCCCAGTAGACAAGTGGTTAAACATATCACAGTCATCCAATCTGGGGTTTCTGACCCAGTTAGCAGGGACAGGAAGTACCTGTCTGTACTCAATTAACTCTATGATAATTACCAAGCAACAGCTATTTGCAAACATTTACAGACACTAGAGGGAAGCAATTTCTTAAACATGCATAGTGCATACATGTTACATACAGTAACTGTACCTACCTAGCTTAACAGGAAGATGGGAATACTGTGTCTGTCTCCTTACAGGCCTGTATTTAGATGGGCATTCCATTATACTCTGTGGGGGCGAGTGCAGTATTGCAGAAATATCAGTTTCTGGCATGGAAAAGAATTGCCCAGGGATGAACAAGATGGTAAGGAA